TTTCAGGGTGGGATGTCCCAAGAAAAGCTCCCGAAACTCGAGATGTCGACAGGGGGTCTGGGACGGCGTGGTCGGATCGAGGCGAGAAATGGCAGGGTGGGGGGTCCCAAGAAAACAGCACCCGAGAGCAAGGATGTCGGCGTATCCCAAGAGCACAGCTCCCGAGCACCAGGATGCCAGCGGAGCGGTCTGGGACGGGGTCGGCTCTGGGCGAGAAGTAGCAGTGTGGGGGGCCGCAAAAACGCAGCTCTCGAGCGCCGGGACGTTGGCGGGGAGGTTTGGGACGGGGTCGGGTGGTCAGGTCAGGTCAGGTCAAGCCTTGCACCGGACGGTGCGTGAGCAGAGGAACAGTAGAGAATTCTCGGATGCCTTCAGCATCCTCCGGCTTCTGACAGCCAGCTCCCGCTCGTGCGCTACGCCGCCCTCTGGGCGGAGTATGTCAGCGAGACACGGCTCCCGAGAGCCAGGCTGTCGGCGGGATCCCGAAAACACAGCTCCCGAGCACCAGGATGTCAGCTGAGTGGTCTGGGACAGGGTCGGATCTAGGCGGCAAATTGCGGGGTGGGGGGTCCCAAACACACGACTCCCGAGCGCCAGGTTGTCGGCGGGGGGGTCTGGGACGGGGTCGGATCGGGGCGAGAAGCTGCAGGGTGGGGGGTTGCCAAAAACGCAGCTCCCGACCGCTGGTGCGTCGGCGGGGGGGGGATCGGGGGCGGGGTCGGATCTGGGGGAGAAGCTGCAGGGTGGGGGATCCGAAAGCACAGCCCGCGAGCACCAGGATGTCGGCGGGGGAGGTCCTGGGGCGGGGTCGGATCCGGGCGAGAAATTATAGGGTGGGGGGTCCCAGTAATGCAGCTCCCGAGCACCAGCATGTCGGCGGGGGGGGGTGGGGCGAGGTCGGATCCCGGCGAGAAATTGCAGGGCGGAGGGCCCCGAGAACACAGATCCCAAGCTCCAGGACGTCGGCAGGGGGGGTTTGGGGACGGGGTCGGATCCACGCGGGAAGGTGCAGGGTGGGGAGGTCCCGAGACCACGGCTCCCGAGCCCAGGGGTTTCGGCGGGGGGGAGAGCATGCTGCAGCGCATGAGTTGTGCAGCCCAGGATCGGTGTATATGCCTTCTTGCGCAAGGCAGGAGGGCGTATACACCGATCCTGGGCCCAGGGTGATCCTGGCCAGGATCGGCGTTGGTGTATAGTTGGTGCCTTCCTACTCTTGTGGTTTTGAGCCGGCTATGATGCCCACTCGTGCGCACCCCGTCCCGTCTTCAGGGACTTCGCATCCCCCTCTTGGTGGTGCTGGTGGTGGGGCGGGGTCGGATTTTGGCGAGCAGCTGCAGGGTGGGTTGGCCCCGAAAGCACAGCTCCCGAACGCAGGCATGTCGGCGGGGAAGGTTTGGGGCGGTGTCGGAAAGTGGGGAGATATTGCATGGTGGGGGGTATCGAAAACGCAGCTCTCGAACGCCGGGATATCAGCGGGTGGTGGTGGTCTGGGACGAGGTTGCATCCGGGCGAGAAATTGCAGGGTGGGGGGGTCCAAAAATACAGCCCCCGAACACTGGCTTGGGGGGTCTGGGGCGGGATCGGATCCGGGCGACAAATTGCAGGGTGGGGGGTCCCAAGGACACAGCTCCCGAATCCCAGGACGTCGGCGGGGGCGGTCCGGGGCGAGGTCGGATCTGGGCGACGAATTGCAGGGTGGAGGGTCCCAGAACCACAGCTCCCGAACACCAGGATGTCGGCGTGGAAGCTCTTGGGCGGGATCTGATCTGGGCGAGACACTGCAGTGGAGGAGGAGGAGGAGGAGGAGGAGGAGGAGGAGGAGGAGGAGGAGGAGGAGGAGGAGGAGGAGGAGGACGAGGAGGGGGGAGGAGGAGGAGGAGGAGGAGGAGAAGGAGGAGGAGGGCCCGAAACACACAGTGCTCGGAAGCCGGGATGTCGGCGCTGGAGTCTGGGGCGGAGCTGGGTCCGGGAGAGAATTCGCGCAGCTCCATAGGGGGTCTGGGGCGGGGTCGGGCCCAGGCGAGAATTTCAGAGCGGGGGGTCCCAAGAGTACAACTCCCGAGCCCAGGGGTGTCGCTGGGGGGGTTTCTGGGGCGGGGTCGGATTCGGGCGAGGAATTGCAGGGTGGAGTTTCGAGTTCCCGAGCAGTAGGATGTCGGTGCTGGGGGGTTTTGGGCGGGGTCGGATCCGGACGGGAAATTGCAATGTGGAGGGTTCCAAGAAGGCAACTCCTGGGAGCCAGGGCGACGGCGGCGAAGGTCTGGGTCGGGGTCGGATGTGGGCGGGAAGTGGCAGGGTGGGGGTTCCCAAGCATAATTGCCGGAGTCGGAGCGGGACGGGAAATTGCAGAGTGGGGGCCGCAAGGGTATCGGCGTGGGACGTCTGGGACGTGGGCGGATTCGGGGGAAAAGTTCCAGGGTGAGTCATGGTGTTGGCGGGTGGGTTTGGGGCGGGGTCGGATCCGGGCGAGAATCGCAGGATGGGGGGTCGGGGCGGTCTG